CCAGTACTGGACCCGCTAAGGTGTCTTCGCTTGCTCGCCATTCCACTCCTCGGACTGGATAAGTGCGATATTCCTCAGTTGAGTCTTTCGTTGAAGCCCTGAGTCCTCCAGCACTTCTGATGCTGGCACCACTGCACTTGCTCTGGATGCCGGCTAGGTGCCTCCGTGTTCCTTCTGGTAACTGTCACGTGTGTATTCTCCACTGTAAGCCTCTCTGAGCATGTGTCTTCCCTTGGCAAGCCATCTGCCACTCCTGGAGTTAAGCTTCTAGCCACCCTTAGGTTGGTACTCCAGTATTTTCCAATATGAAGTTCCCTTGAACCATATGTGTATTCTTAAGTCCTCCCTACGGTAGGCATACTGCGGCATATTCCTCCCGGGATATGCTTCCCAGTGTACCTTGGTATTCCTGTGTTAAAGTAGGACTCCTGGTTATAAGCTAAGTTGTTAGGAGTCCAGACTTTCGCAGGGCACTGGAAGACAGCTGTGAAGATGGCGTGATGGCACGGACCCCCATTCTCCGTCATTCCGACGTAACTCGGAGTGACTACAAAAGGGTACGTCTCGGTTACGGATGTAACCCTCGTTCCCTGAGTAGGGAACGGAGACGTTACGTCTCCCTGCCACTTCTGCTGTACCGCTGGGTAGACGCCTGAGTTCAGTCTCGGCTCCTCAGCGAAGACATACTGCGGTTGCGTTAACTTCCTCCTTTTATACCCACGAGGTGGGGCGGAGATACACTATGCAAATTCCGCAGACCCAAGGCATTTTCATGCCATTGGCTCGTTTTGAAATACTCGAAGAGGATTGGCTTTCTATGCGAAACCCCCATTCTCCGTCATTCCGACGTAACGTCTCCGTTCCCTACTTAGGGAACGAGGGTTACATCCGTAACCGAGACGTTTCCACTAAATGAAATTCAAAATGAATGTCATTTTTGATATGGTCAGTGTGATTATTTTTTTAAGGACCATTTAACCGAGTCAAATCAAGTCCAAGTCTATTTTGTATATTTTTTGTGTTCATAGCAAGTGCCAAAACCTTTACCAAGTTTTGTACCATTCCGATTAAGAAAATAATTCTTAGAAAAAATACAAATGTAAAATATTTCTGTCAAAATTTACAGAAGATCTCCAGAGTATCATATAATCCTTCAAAACAAGATTGCATCAGAAGTCACACAGAACAGAGCAAAGTAATAATTTCACATTAAATGAGTAAACTGTGTAATACATTTTAATATTCATAAATAAGGATTTTGTTATGAGACGGCAAGGAGGAAGCAGAGGTGGAATCCAATCGCAAGCACTTTAATAATCCAACAAACAAATGAACAAATAAATAAATAAACCAGGGTAAACTCAGAACAAGGTACTCAGAACAGGGAACTAGAAACAGCATAACATCAAACAACAACCAACACCTAACAACTGAAGCACAGAGGTTTAAATACACAGACAAACAAGCTAAACAAGGTAACAAGGGGGCGTGGTTAATCAGAAACACCTGGGGGAACTCATCAACAAGAAAAACTACAAAGGACTACAAAACATGGCACAGAGCAGGAAATAGCAAAAGTTCACACAAGACAAGAGAAACAGACAGGAATCATTACAGATTTATACACATTTGTGCAACTGTAAAGTTCATATGTAAATAATGTCATGCGTCAATATTGTACATTTCAGTGTCTATGCAGATACATGTAAATAAATATATGTAAATGTGGTTAAACCACACTTTATGTACAAACACATACGAATACTCATAAGGTATCCATATACTTAATTAACTGATATAATGTTTAAGTAATTAAAAAAAAAAAATTAGCACATGATTTACTTACCCACACATCAACCTTTAATTTAAAATGTTCCGATTACCATCACAATAATACAGATACAATAGAATGGCATATGATGAATCAGAGTTGATCATATTCAGCCTGTTCACAAAACATTGTCAATACTTGTGCACAGGGTCATACATGCAAATACAAAACACCATCAGGGTAACACACGTGGCCTTAAAATAATGCAATAATCATTACCTAAATAACAGAAAATACAACAGAAACAAACCCAAATAATGCAACCTATTGACAAGACACATATAAGAGCACACAATTTGTATACAAATGTAGTGTAATTTGTAATCATATGAAATGTGCAATGCAGGGACTTCTGGGAATGTCTTTTTACTGTTCTTTTTATTAAACCTTAAATTATATGGTAATCAATAGTTTTTACTTGTAAACAAATTTAACATTATTTAGCAGTAAACCGACATACAAAATGATGTTAAACCATTTATAGTTTTTAACCATATATGTTAAGGTAACTTAAATTTAACCAATTAACATATTTTTACTGTTGTACTTTTACAGTTTCAATTGTGTCTCAAAATGTGGCCATTCGGAACACAAATAACGAAAGGAAAAATGGAAGACAACACAATTTCATTAAGCATGCCATCCATCGTCCTGCAAATAAATATATACATTTTGTAAAAAAAATAAATAATAATAAAAATTAAAAATAATGACTAACTTTAAAAATATATCTTAACTTTATAACTTCCGCCAAACACCAGCGACAGTGACCGTCGGCGACAGAATGTAGGTGTGTCAAGTGACGCGAGACACATGACAAAAGTTCACAAATTTCAACTTTATGCAAATGAACAACGAATTTAGTGAGCTCAGGGGTCTCATTTTTAAAACTTTGGATAGGATCCTTACTAAAAGCCCAAAATATTCAGACTTATAAAACCGTGCATATGCCAGAACCTGCGGAAAATAACTTTTATAAATCCCAGTGAGCGGAAGATTGTACATTGATAATTCAATGTTAGGCTGCATAGATTAGGTCAGCCGGAACCGGGAACACTTCCCACAAATCCTGATGTACTTGGTACATCCTAAAAAGGATGGTGTCTATGCTAATATTAGTCTCCCTGTTTATCATGAAGTTTAACGCAGTGTGCCGGATCTGATGAAGGACCTGCACCTGGACACGACGACAACCCAGTCTTGAAGTATCAACTAGTCTCTCCCTTTGAAGGCCTCCCTCCCTTTGCCTATGTACAGATAAAACATCGGGATAATTCATGTTTGTGTGGCTACGCAGACGCGACAAAAATTTCTGTATTGTACATTTTTAAGACCAGACAAGTAGTTTGTTGAGGGTTGATTTGTGAAAAAGGACTACACACCTGCGCACATACTGTATACTGTATATTCAAACGGGCATACCAATGGACTGAACACGTGATGTGCTTGTGTCTGTGTTTCGTGGGTTTGCATTTTTGAGGTTTGGGCAAAGATAACGGATAATTGTTTGCACCTTCAAACTTATTTCAGGGAGTGCTTTCTCGAGACACCAGGCACTGTTTTGTGCGGATGGGTGGCTAAAGTGTGTTAAAGAGTTTTTCTGTTAGAGCGGTATTATAGTGTTGGCGGCCCCAAAGTTAATTGATCTTCGCAACAGACAAGAATCAATCAAAACTAACTTTAGCTGGACAATAACTTTATCGTAATGCTGTTTTAAAGCCTAAACAATCTGTTACGGTAATTTCTATTATAACTGAAAACCTGCCTTGAAACAATCCATACTATTAAAAGCGCTTTATAAATGAAGGTGACTTGACTACAGTATTTTTCTGTAAACAATTACAAATGTTTTTCAGTGTACAGCTTATACCAGTTCATGCAGTTGTGCTAGTTTTGTGGTTTGCAGGTTTGCAAAAGTAACAATGGGGATGGGAGGGTTGGCAAATCAATTGGTAACACTATAGAATGCTGTTTCTTCATTAATATTAATGTAATTAGGAACAAATGAGTAAAGCACTGTTATCACTCCAGTAACTACTATCAACTAATAAGAAACTCCGAGAATGAATTAGTGAGTAATAGCGCTCTGTTGAATGTGGTAAGTTATTATTAGCTAATCAGTAACTAAAAAATTTTCATACCTTTCAGAGGACTACTGTATACAAAACTGCTATTTACAGGTTCATAATTATCTTAATAATACATTATATAATAAATATATAATATAGTTCATTCTAAATTGAAGGTATTGGTAACTGTAATGACTCAAGTATTACCAAATCCCTCTGAAGGAATGACTAATTATTATTCGGATCAGTATTCAAAGTGAAAAACAAGATAACTCCATAGTAATTACAGAAGTCATTGAAAGATTTTGAGTTTTTTTGTAAGGTTTTGGATAGTAATTCCTTCCAATGGACAGTCATTATGACTAATGTGTTACCATGATCTATTCTTCACTTTAGCATACTGATTCAAATAATTAGTAATTCCTTTTGAAGGATTTGGTAATACTTCAGTCATTAATATTGGGTTATTATGATCTCCACTTTAGAACTTATACATTTTGCATTATTCAAGTTAATTATGAACCTTAGTCCTCTGAGAGATATATGATAAAATAGTAGCTACTAATTTATTAGCTAATAGTGAACTACCACATTCAACTGAGCGCTATTACTTACTAATTTGTTCATCAGAGTTTCTTGTTAGTTGATAGTAGTTACTGGAGTGTTAATAGTGCTTTACTCATTTGTTCCAGTGTAGTAATTCATTAATGAAGGAACAGTATTCTAAAGTGTTACCAAGTAAAGTATTGATTTAGTGTAAAAGTCAACATAAACCTTTATAGGTTAACTCAAATAGAAATATTGCACAAAAAAATAATTAATGATTTAGTGATAAAGTCAACATGTATACTCAAATAGAAATATTGCACACAAATTTTTATTAACACACATAGGCTATTGTACAGTTACTAGTGAATATGACATACGTAGTCTCCTTACAAATAGACTACTGAAAACCATGCAAGCACCTGTAACATATAATATCAATTTGTTTAAAGGAATAAATGCTGCTCCGGCTTGCCATAGAGCTCGCAGCGAGCGAGGGAGGGCATTGCTGCTTAAAATGCTGTGAATGTGACAGCCAATCGTCCAGACTGCCAGCCTCCTCCTGGGGAGGGAATGAGGAGACACCTCTGTGAGGAAAATGCGCGCGAAGTGACGCGACACGCGCCGCTCTACAAGTGTTTGGACCATTTTCCACGAACAGCGCGAGGACCGGGGCGCGAAAACGACTCGCCCTTTTGAGGGGACAAACATGACTGTGGTGCCCGGGGAGAACCTCGACGAGACTGTGGCATTGACAGTCCTGTCCCAAGATGTTTACGAACCTGAACGGGCAGATCAGGAGTGTTGCGAGCGGGTGGTCATCAACATCTCCGGACTGCGCTTCGAAACCCAACTGAAAACCCTGGCGCAATTCCCTGCCACCTTACTCGGTGACCCCAGGAAAAGAATGCGCTTCTTCGACCCTCTGAGGAACGAGTACTTCTTTGACAGGAACCGACCGAGTTTTGATGCCATCCTCTACTTCTACCAGTCTGGAGGCAGGCTGAGGAGACCCGTCAATGTTCCCGTGGACATATTTATGGAGGAAATCAAATTCTACGAGTTGGGAGAAGAAGTCATAGAGAGTTTTAAGGAGGACGAGGGCTTCATCAAAGAGGAAGAGCGACCTTTGCCAGTAAACGAGTTCCAGAGGCAGGTTTGGCTGCTGTTCGAGTATCCCGAGAGCTCTGGACCCGCGAGGGGCATCGCAATAGTGTCAGTGCTCGTCATTTTGATATCAATTGTCATATTTTGCTTGGAGACTTTACCTGAGTTTAGGGAGGACGGGAAAATGCACGAGCGCATCGTAATAAACGGAACTGCCAGTTTAAAGAAACCCAATCCCTTCACAGACCCCTTCTTTATCGTGGAGACCCTTTGTATCATCTGGTTCTCCTTTGAACTTCTCGTGAGGTTTCTCGCGTGCCCGAGCAAGCCAGCCTTCTTTAAGAATATAATGAACACAATCGACATAGTGGCCATTATTCCCTACTTCATCACCTTGGGTCTGGAGTTGGCCGAGCATCAGGCCAACGGCCAGCAAGCGATGTCTCTGGCCATCCTGAGGGTCATTCGCTTGGTGCGGGTGTTCCGCATATTCAAGCTCTCCAGACACTCGAAGGGGCTTCAGATCCTGGGAAAGACCCTTCAAGCGAGCATGCGAGAACTGGGTCTCCTCATATTCTTCCTCTTCATTGGAGTTATACTGTTCTCCAGCGCCGTGTATTTCGCCGAGACGGACGACCCCGAGTCGGGGTTCAGCAGCATCCCCGATGCCTTCTGGTGGGCAGTGGTTTCCATGACAACTGTAGGCTACGGGGACATGTGCCCAGTCACCATCGGTGGCAAAATAGTGGGCTCTTTATGTGCCATAGCTGGTGTGCTCACCATTGCTCTACCAGTGCCCGTCATCGTGTCCAATTTCAATTACTTCTACCACAGGGAGACCGAGCACGGGGAGCAGATGCAATACACACATGTAACGTGTGGTCAGCAGCAACCCTCGTTTGAGGAATTTAAAAGGAGTGACAGCAAAACATCCCTTTCCAAATCAGACTATCGGGATTCAGAGGATGGGGATTCAGTCAAATACACCAACTGCAGCCCGCGTAAAGCATATGCAGGGAAGCTTACTGATGTATGAATGTTGAAAGACAATTATAGACCCAAAGAAGCGAACCTTTCTCTGTGACTGTGAGTACATCCTCATCCCTCGCGCTGGCTTGAGTAGAAGTCCGATAATCTGCGTGGAACAAGGACTTCTGGAGCGGATTTTGCTATAACGTGATTGTTCGATTGTTTTCCAAACTGTCTTCCATTGTTGTGATCGCCGATCATCGAAGCGCGAGACGTAGGCTAGCTGTAGGCGCAAATATAAAATAAACAAATAGGAAAAAAAAATATATATATATATATAACGTATTTATATAAGCAAGCCCAATTAAATAAATGTGTAGCACTTTATTCGTAGGCTTAGTCCACAAATTCATTGGTGCGTAATCTGTTGGTTTTTCAACAAATTCGGCGACAGTGCGATCAAGTTTACATACAATTTGCTTATTTGGAAAAAAAAAATAATAGGACCAAAATACATACATAGGCTAGCCTATATCTTGTTGTTATTTTTATTATTTTATTTTCTAACGAGGACAGTTCATCTGCAAGGTCATTTGGAAAGCGACTTACCCCAGCTCATATACTGTTGTTATTGTTATTTTTTTTTTTCACATTTTTTATTGCTATATGTCTAACGGTTAATTTTGAAATCTGAGAATCATATATCTCTGTGCTTCATTGAGAACGATCGGAGCAAACCAGATTTGAGATTATTAATAATTTTAGGAGCATACTTTATTTTCAGGTGTCATAAATCCGTGCCAGTGCATTAGCATTGAGATGTTATGGCATCTTATAATTACTTGATAATTTCATTCGCACTATGTTAGAATCACTGCCGGGATAGACTTTCAATGATTAGCATTATTTTGACATAAGCTTCTTTATTTCTTCATAGCTATTATCAACAGATGCGCTTGGAATGCATGAGCAGAGACTCGATTCCAACAATGTGCGCTCAATTCTGGGCACGAGGTGTTTTTTTATAATACAATAGCGGTATCTTGTGGACAGAGGTGGAAACTGCCACCATTAAGAGACTAAATGTGTTTCCATAGCAACTTTACAGACTATTCTGGAAACACTGGGGTATTATTGTTTCCTTAATTTACTCTCATGAAATATAGTTTCCGGTGTTTTTATTATAAAACAACGACATTCTATAAGAAATGTATTTAATTATAAACCCTCAGATAGGCAGGTTTACCTTCTTATTATTAGCCTAGTCAAACTAAACTAAGCTAGAGGCTCATCCCGCGCATCACATGTGAATATAATAGAGCGATCTACAACGACGTAGTAGCCCACAACACACACAGTAGTGACGCATCTACATTTCTGCTCTGCAACAGCATCAAGAGGGAATCACGAATTCAGCTCAAAAAGGGATTCGCTATGACGTCACTGTGATGAACAAAACCCCCATCTGCCTATTGGCTGGAATATAAACTCTTGTAACGTCAACAACGGACTAACTGAAAATGGAAACGCCACATCATCAAGTTCTTCTTACTTTCTGCTCCTTTCATGGGATTTTCACAATAACGAGAAGAGTTCAGACAGGATGAGGTATGTAACACTGCACATCCATCAAAACACAACGTTGAGCATGGGTGCTAATTAGTGTCCATTTTAGAATTAGCCATTTTTGAGGAATATTATAATTGTAATAGTTCTAATGCCAATATTTTTTCTAATAAATAGCCTATGAATTACATACTTTTAGGTTTATATACAATTATTACCCATTCAGTGTAGCTCCAACTCCAATCAAACACACCTGTAGCAGTTTATCAAGGTGTTCAAGATGATTTGAATATTGTGTTGGAACTGAAGTCTCCAGGACTAGGGTTGGAGACCCCTGATATAAGATATACAAATAAGATATAACAGCAAGAAACAAAATAAAACAAGAGAAAATTAACAAACAGGCGATAACAAATCATATTAACGGGAAAATGGACACGTTTTAAAATGAACATGTCACTAAAAACAGACAAAGCTGGAAACAGATAATATTTTGATAATATTTGAATATTTGATATTCTACGGAGACCCCCCCCCCCCCCATAAAAAGGTCTTTGAATTGAGTAATTTTTTACATTGTTTAGAGCATAACAAACAATTGGTAAAAAAAAAATATTTTTTTTCAGTCACCAATCAGTATTTTGGTGTCAGGATTTTTTCCTTCAACCAAAATGTGTATAAAGATGATGTTATGAAAGATTTTTATGCAATATGTGGGTAAAATGGCCATAAATGATTATTCCCATTCAATAATCAATACAATGAATCTATACACTGTATCTAATGTGCATATTAATATGTTCTTGGGGCAACATGTAATGAAAAAAGAAGTAATAATGGGAGTAATAATTGGCAACATTTTAATAATAATATCTAATATTTCATATGAATATTGATGTATAATTCTTTCCCTATTCACTATAAACAAGAAGCACATGACTTAATTCAATTACACAGCAATGTTACACAGGTCTATAAATATAGTTATCAAAAAAGACTTACAGTATTCAGATTACAAACTTAGAATTATTCATTCTAGATCTATAAGAACATCAAATGATGATGGAGACTTCCTGTATGTGCTCTCTGTTCACACTAGGGGGCGCAATGTGCTTGTTTTGACCTTTTTTGTCTTTCTCCAAAACAAATTCGCTTTTAAATGAATTTAAATAATAATAATATCAATAATAATAATATTTCATTTTATTTAAATAAAAATGAAAACAGATATTTTGAACATGGAAATTAAGAACGCAGGTTCAGTTGAGCTGGGGGTGTTTCCTGACCCACTTTAATATTGGTGTGTTGCATTGTCCATATGTGTTTAATGTTTTCTGAGGGAAAGCTGGTCTGGTCACATGAAAAACAAGACAGAAATAAGATTGACGTAGAGAAACCCACCATGTCATATTGTAATGTGTGTTCTGCTTATAGATTTTACACACACACACACACACATACTCTTGACTGTCACATTCACTTGAGCAAAGGTCGTGTTATTTCAAGCTGTGGATACTTTCATAATCCAGGAAGCTTTGGCACTTACAGTTGATCAGTAGCTGTCATGTGACTCTCATATAGGTCCTCACGGCCCAGGAATATTGGCCCTAAAACCAGGAGCGGCTCCTGGTCGTACATTTAGGTAGGGTAGATTTCTGGGTCTTAGCAGTGGTTTATGGTAAATGTTTTGTTAGTTTTATATTCTAATCGCTGAACACATGCCGACACACTTTTGGCTGTGTTTGCGTTATTCAGCCTGAGGGTGGCGCTCTAATGTTACTTGACAAGCAGTTTTTGCCAAGTTACTCTAAATAAAGTAATGAATTACTTGCTACTTATTATATTTTCAACAGTGTAATATGATTACTGTGCTAATTATTCTCTTAAAAAAGTATTGGATAACTTATTACTAATTACTTTATGAATCCCATATCACCCTTAACCAGATGAATAGTACAAGGATAGACATGAAATTGCACTTAAGTAAACAATATACAATTGCATAAATTATTAATTAACTGACCAAAGTGTTTAAAGTGAGGTTACATTAAAAACATATATTTTAACCTCTTAACTGTCACCCCCCCCCCCCTTTTTTGAATAGACATGAAAATGCACATTTCGAACTTAAATGGTTGTAATTCAAGAATGCTTTGGAATATAGACATATGATTGGTCTTGTTTTAAAGAAGACATTTGGCAGATTTTTGTAGAAGTGAAATAAATTAAGAAAGTGAAACAGAAAAAAAGTTATAGAAGTTTGAGTTTATGGAAATGTACAATGTAAAAATATTAATTATTCATATTTTACATAAAATATATATTTTCAAAACCTGGGCTACTCTAAAACGGCAGAAAGATCAAAGCCAAAAATCTGAACAAGTTGTGTTTCAAATTTTAGGTTGATATCTCAAAAAATGAGCTTTCAGTAAGATTTTGTTTGAGCGCAGTACCAAACTTTTTCACTAGGGCACAATCAGACTCCACTGTTCATATAAGGGCGCCTGCATTTCCATTCGTGTTTTGAGTGATATGAACCATTATTTTCACAATTTTCATACAATTTCTGAAGTAGAGATCCTATTCAGAAGTAGTATGGGAAGTTTGGCAGATTTTGAAATGAATTGAACCTCTAAGAAACACATACAAAGAACACGCATGTAAGTCATAGCTAGCTGCCACGTCACAAATGGTGAATTTATTATTTTTTTTTCTTGATATTTCAAACCTTTCAGACCTTTTTTTTTCCAAAATAATTGAATGGATTCAATCTTTTGAACTTTTGGCATGAAAACAAACTGAGGTTTCTACCATTTTTTCATGATTTTTCATGTTTATTGCTATTTTAAAATAAAGGTCTGAACACGCCTTATGAGTATGAAAATATTCTTGTTGCATATTGATAAATTATGGCTTCTCTGTAATATATTTTGAAAATCAGTCACCAAATATGGAAACTAGAGATTGTAAGCTTTCAAATGATATATAGTTTGCCAATATTACTAAAGGTATTTACTAAGATATTATTGTTTTAAAAATATAGTGGCAAACGTCCCACCTGTGGGACGGTGACAGTTAAGTTAACATTACATTTTGATGTAAAGTCCACTATTGTTTTTATAAAGAATTGTTCTATAGTCGATTCAGCGTTTAATACAATGACATCAGAAGAAATTAAATTACATTGTAATTCCTTACTTTTTGTTATTTTAGTAACTTTGTTATTTTGATTATTTAGTCATTATTTACACATAACACACACATAGAACACTCTTTGAATTGCCTTAATTCACAGGAGCACGTTTTCAATTAAAGGATTCATACTTTCATTCTTTTGATATGTTACTCCACATAGGAAGAACAGACATGGCAACTAGTTACTGACCTGATGCAAACACATAGCTGAAGTGGATTGATACCGTCTTGGTCTGGAGCGAGGTTCACTTAAAGTAACGTGCAAATAAGCGGGACAGCCTGAAATCTGCCCCAGTGAATCTTTTTAAGAGGGGCGCTGCAGTTCCATTTTTCACCACAGATTTACATTGGAAAATTCTGGGGCGCTGTAGAGCTGGGGAGGCTCAGACACACCAGAGCTTAGTATCATTCATAGACTCCATCTACTGTATCTTCCATTGGTCAGAAGTGAAGCCGTGAGTGTCCCGATATGGTGCTGACATCTTGGAACTTAAGTAGCGCCCTATGAAATCCGTTTTTATTTTTTCCCAAATTCCGTTTTTTTTTTGTTGTTTTTTTTTTCGTTTAATTTTTGGGAATTAGTTTTTTTTCCTTGACTTTTATTTTAGTCGTAAAAAGAGTGTGATTTTAAAGTTAATGATAAAAATGTATTAAAAAATTCAAATAAATTAGGAATGACCTTAAATTTATTGAAGTAATACAGACATTTACTCAGTAGCCTTTTCAGGACAAATACTGCATGATTCAACACAACACTGCACTCTTCAAGTAACAACAAAATATGGTTATGCGTTTTAAACTGTCCATTAATATAAAGTATATTAAAGTTAAAAAAAAGTCACACTCTGTCTCTCTGTCGCTCAAAGAGTTTGCTTCGCTTTTGTCCAGTCCGGCGCCTCATAGACAGACGCGGTGTGCACGTTGTGTGTGTGTATGTGAGAGAGATGCGTGAGTGAGAGAGAGACGGAGGTAGAGCGAGGAAATACAACTAAAAGAATACGCTGCGTGTTTTAAATAGTGTGTGGTGGCAAATTAGTCTATGTGTGGGAAACACTGCATAAAAGTCACGTGCGAACTTCTCGGTTCGGCATTTACGGCTTATAGCGTCGAGTTTCTTAACTTTTTGCCGACGAAAGGAGAGCCGTGGAGAGCCGCTTCGCCATGCTTTCATTGTTTAGATTTCGTCATTGGAGCTGAAATGATGGGTTGGGGGTTTGTGTCGCACAGATTTGGTTCCCCCGGTCTGCATTTTCACCAGACATACGTTCTTCTCCCTCAGAAAAACAGAATTTCAAACCAAATATGTACAATTCCACGAAATAAACACTACATTCCGCGTTAATTTGCCAATTCCGCAATTCCGTCTGCGATTTCGTGATCGCGGAAATCATAGAGCCCTACTTAAGTAGTGAGCAGGAAGTAAAGCAGCGAAATCAAGACCCTGCCCTCACTCTCGCATAATTTTTTTTTGTTTTAGATTATTTGTATACATTTACAAATATATATACATACATAATTGTCATAGGCAAAGCCATAACAATATGTGTAAATGTGTTGCATAAAAGGTTTCTAGCCAATTTAATTATTTTTTCATTCGCAGACCCTGCTTTGGCAAAACCATAAGTAAAATTTGTATCCTGCTCGCTTTACGACTTAAATACTGAACACTTATACAATTTATTATCAATTCATGTAATATAGAGGCATGTGCTGGAAAATATGGTGAGCAAGTCACAATAAGAGCGACTGAATAATGCTGTTGTCATGTGTGGCACTCGCGCTATTGGCTTGTGTTACAGCTCACAGGTGTTGAATAGGTCAGCGTGACTTTGTGACTCGCTGCAGTT